TTAAGATAATTTGTTTTACTTTGAGTTGAATATTGATATTTTGAATAAAACTGCTGTATAAGTGTTTTATTTGGTAATTGATGTATTTAGATAGGTTGGTATTTAGTTTGTGTATAAAGAAGCAGGTAATTGTAGATAATCGAAGAGCTTTTACATAGAGTAAGACAAGAATTAACCAGAAGAAAGAGAGATAATTAAGATTTAGATTGTAAGTGAAGGATATTTGAGAGCTGTAGATAGTAATTGTATTATTATTTATAAAATAGATTATATAATGAGTCAGTAATAGAAAAGATAATTGTTAAGGAATAAAGATAATTGAGATATAAAGAAGTTGAGAGGAGAAACTATTTGCAAGTTCTTGTATATTGTTGAGAATATAATGGAGACTATCTCTTTTTGTTAACCATATATATTTGAGTTGATTGATATTGATAGTTTTGGAGCATGGTTGTGTATTACAAATGCATTTTTCTATTTGTTTGGCTTTGTTGATTGTATAGTGAGGACCTGTAATTAGATTAGTATATAATGATATTGCATTTGACTTTGATAAAATTAAATATATTGAGTTCTGTTAGATATGCCCAAAACTGTGGTTTTTGATTGGACACTGGTAATATATCTCTAACAATTATATTGCTTAATTATAGAATGTTTGTGAACTATAAGGAAGCAGAACTAATTGATATACAGTATGTCCTTTGTATATATGGAGTTCCTGTCATAAAAGTTTGTCACCTGTTTCAAAGACAAGTAGGTTTTGTACTGTTTTGAGATTGAAATAGTAAAGTATAAAAGTTGCTTTTTTGTTGACTTTGGTAAAGAAGCTAATTGACTGCTAGTGATTTGCCATTTCAAATAAATATGGGAAGGGATAGATATTAATGTTGTATTTTTTTGCTAGCTATGCTATTGCTATTATCCAAATTGTTTTGAAGTGGAATAGGTTATATATGGAATATAAACAGACTGCACTTGCTACTTGTATGAACTTTATTTCTTTTCTGGTATAAGAAAGAGTCTTGAAATTCGTAAGCTTGATTATTAATAATTTAATAGTTGTAAGATCTCTTCTGTTTTTAACTTTGATAATATTAAGGCCTATGTGTAAAAAAAGAATTTTGTCTAAGATTGTTTGTTCTACTTCTATTTTATTTTTGATTGCTTTGTTCATTTTTAATTGCAGGTTGTTTAGATTTGTGTTGATTAAGGTAGTGACTTGTATGACATAGTCTAGTTGTGCTAGAATTATCCAATGAGAAGCTTGTCTTGTAATTAATCTATTTCAACCTTTTTGATTTGAGATTGCCTTGGTGAAGTTGCTAATTTTTTCTGTAAGTTTAATTTTAATAGAAACTAAAGATGATTTGCCAAAGATGTATATTTCAGATACTATATTGCTTTATGACAGGGCTTGGATTGAATGTGTTTATTCTCTATATTGTTGGCCTGGAAAACAGCGAGTCAGTCACTTTACTGGTCCAATGTTCACATAACTAAGGTAAGTTGAGGTGCATAAGATTGATTTAGCCAGGGCTTTTCATTATTAACAAGCTTTTCTCTTCTTTCCCAACACCAGCTCTTCTCTTGATAATCCCGGGCTATGTCCTATAGTGGTGATTATCCTTCCTTGTATGGTGTGTACTGAAAAAGGTAAGTTGTTAATTACAATATTCCTTATTTGGCATTTCAATTTTACTAGTCACTGTATTTATTAATCACACTATTGTTTTTTTCTCTATCTTAACTATATCTTTTTTTTTAACTACTTCTATCCTACTATTCGCTTTACAATCGTATAGTTATTTATATTGTTGCTACTATTATTAAAAACAATTAAGGGAAAAAGGATTATCAGGGCTAAAACAAACTATAGTAAGTTATGTAAGCTTCGATGACTATATTTTCTATGCTATTATTAATGCTATTTCACATTTTCAGGGTATGCAATGCGATAGTCACAGTACGCAACTATACCATGTGACTTTATAGGGTTAACAATATATAATACTTGGTTTCAGCATGTGTTTTCTATGCTGAGATTGTTAATTAACTCAGTTTTTTTCTTGTTGCATTTTATATAGTTGATCTTTAAGAAGGAACAAAAAATATCTATAGTATTTTAGAGAGAGTTGAGAGAGCTGCTAAGTATGGCAACATCATTTATGTAGGCAAGTATTTTTGATTTTGGTGATGTGATATTGATGACTTGAGTAACTATTGGATTATAGAAGATGGTTCAGAGAAGAGAAGTTAATTTTTTGTTTTGGTTGATGCCATTGCTAGTATAGAGAGGATCAGTCAGCTTGTAATATGAAATAATTTGAAGTTCTATATTGTTAAGCAGGTTTAGAACTAGTGAAATGATTTGGAGGGACAGCTTTATCCTTTTCATAGCTGCATCCAAACTGTTAAGATTGATCAAGTCAAATACTTTGAATATATTAAAGGAAGATATCCATAGTTTTTTATCCAAGTTGTTAGCAATTTCTAATTCAAAAGTGATAATCAAGATTGATTCCATAGTACTTTAGTTTTTAAGATCAATAAATTTGAAGCCTGAAAGAATTTTTTTCTTGTCAATTATATTGAAGACTTGTTTGTTAATAATTTTGATGATGATTTTTCAGCTGGTTTCAATTAGTAAAATAGGATAAGTATCTGCTAGGTTATGTGATCAGATTATTTTTTTCAGCAGTAGTGTAATAGCTGACTGCTTACAATGCTTTAATAAAAAATATGTGAAAAGCACTTTATTAAATATTTTTTTGATTTACTGTCTCGTTGCTGTGCCAAGATTGATCCAATCTTTATATAGAATGCAAGTAAATCCTGATGCTTTTTGCTTTGGTAGACTGATAAGGACTTCATCAATTTTAGGAAGTGAGATTTTGTCACATATTATATTGAATGTATTGTCAAGGATTGAGCTCAAAAAGCATATTAATTTTACCAAGTTTGATCAATATTAAAAGGTTTTGATTCAAGAATTTTTTTGAAATGATTTATAATGATTTCAATTAGTTTGTCAGGTCATCATGTCAAAATCTGGTATAGTTTTCTTTGATACCATTTTAAAGTTCAAATATGATAGTTTTATTTGATTTGATTATCTTTTAGTTGATTAGAAGTTTTATTACTTTTCTGAATAATTTTGAAGAGAGGGCTGTATTGAAGATTTTATTATGTATAGCTAGTACTATATAATAGAGTTTTGGTATTAGAGACTTTTGTTCTCTTAAGGCTTTTAATATGCTTTTTGCTGACTTGATAACTGTGGTGTAGTGTGTTAATGGGTCCTTGTTCTGATTGAAATTTGTTTGTTTTCTTTAAAAAATATTATTGTTCAGAGCTTTTTTTATAATATTGTTAAGACTTTCCTATAAGTAGTTTTGATCGATGAGATAAGTAACCTTAATGTTCTCCTGTATTGCCTGTATTTGTTTTTTGAAAGCTTATTGAAGTGGTACATGTTTCTAGAGAATGAAATTTTGTCAGATCTGTATTCAAACCAGTTAAAAATAGTGATTAATTACATGTGATCATTAGAAATAGCTTCCTGCTCAGTGACTTTATAACTTAAGATCTTGTTGGCTAGGTCATGTGTAATCCAGATTTGGTCAATTCAGGAGGCACTTGTATTAGTTGTATAAGTGAATATGTTTTTCTTATTAATGTCCTTTGCCATATTGTGAGAGAAAGAATAAAAACAATAGTAACACGATTAAGGTCACGTGACCGACGATCGACCTGGGATCGCGAGAAGAAAAGAAAGGTAAAAATAGATCTGAAACCGGCAATTGTAACGAAATAATAATGATGTAATTAGTGTTAGATTAGATAATAGTGCCAGAAAGTAGTGGAAATTTCCTTACCTTTTGTTATTTTTCCAAATTGTTCCTAAACTTTTCTTGTAAAAAAGTATAAAATGTTAGCATTTATTCTTTAAAAAGAAAATGAGGCAAATAGTGGTGACTAAAGAAAATTAATAAAAAGAAATTACTTACCTTGATCAAATCAAACGCCTCGCCAAAATCATCCACTTCCACATTTTTGGTGGTGACTGTGAGATTCGACGCATCATTACCCCCCGATATTTTCACGCAAACACCTTTTTCGACATTTTCATACCCCTATTATAAAAAAAAAAAAAAAAAAATTTATTCGTTAGAACCTTTTTTTTCATTTTACCATCCAACTTCCTAATTTCACTTTCTTTTATTTTACTTTTACCCTTTCAGACACTTACGCTGTATAACGACCCAACCTGATGTAGGAATTGACTGTCAGAGCCGAACTCTGGAATAACCAAACAAACAAACAGACCTGTGCGACACCCGTGATAATATTTAAATGGCGACGGATCTTCAAACTAATGGCAACGTAATTACCAGGTTTCTTCAGCGGCTAAATGCCTTGCAAGGACTAGCATACACCCATGATGACGCAAGAAGCCTAAAAGTCGGGCGCCAGAAAAAAAGAAAGAAGTCGGTCGAGCTAAGTTGCCTCCCTTTGAGGGTAAAGCCGGAGAAGACCCACCACGATGGTTGAAAGGCTACGAAAAAACTGCCGAATTCAATGGTTGGTCAAATATTAAGAAACTAGGAAGAATAGGCAGTTATCTGGAAGGAACTGCTAAAGAATGGTACAAAGAAAATTGCGATTAGTTTGTTTATTGGAACGAGAGTAACGATGAAAGCAGCTTTGTGCCGACCTTCCTGCGGCATTTCACATTGCTTGAGCAACGGCGCCAATGGCAGTCGGAATTAGAGAATTTCGAGCAGAGAAAGGACGAAGCAGTAACAGAATATGTCCGAAGGTTTGGAAAGCTACTCAAGAAGCTTTATCCTAAGGACGACTATTCTAGGAAAATGACAGGATGGTTGCTTGTGTTCAGACTAAGGAACAATGTACTGTCGTTGCCTGCCATTAGAAATGCCACCATGCCGGGAAGAGCAATCAGAGCAGTGGTGAAAAACGAAAGAGAAACAAGTAAGATGGAAAAATCAGAAGCCTGCATCCAAGAGATAGAACCAGCATCAGAAGTAAGGGAACTCGGCAAACCTTTTGTCCTCGCTAAAAGAAGCGTGAATGGACCAAGGATGCCGACGGAGAAGGAATAGGGTCGTAGAGACTCAAGGGAGAGAGACTGCGATGCCGAGGACTGTCCAAAGAGGGACAACCTTCTCCTAGGGTCGCTTGCAAAGGAAACGCGATGTAAGGAAGATGAAGGAAGGACGAAACATTCAAACCAAGACTTGCACACCGTAGAAGATGAGACGCCGGCCCCAAAGAATGACAACCACTGCGACGAAGAAGAGACGCTTTCCAATCTGCGAAATAGGAACAAGCACCTAGAAGAAACCATAGACAACAACCAAAGTAAGATCCTGGGAAGAGAACGCGCTAACGTAGAGACGCCAGCAGAATTACTGGACGAAACCTCAAGATCCGCCTGCAACGAAACCCCGATGATTATTGATGATAGGACACCAAGAAGAAAAGACGAAATGCCAAAAACAGTAATGAACGAGCACTAAGAGGAGATAATGGATAACCACCCCAGCAAGACCATAGAGATGGGCACCGACAACAAAGCTCTGGCAACCAAGTATGACGCGAAGGGCAAAGACGTAAACAAAATTACGGAACCCGCCGGTGATGAAACCTCAATGAATAAGAACAGTGGGCTATCGAATAAAGGAAGAGAAGGCATGAAAAAAATGACGAGCGTACCGAAAGGAGATAGTGAATCAGCTACGCAGGGCCTAGAACTACATCAAGGGCGAGCAAAAGATTAGCTGGAAGATGTGCCATCCGGCGACCAAGGAGATCTTAATGAAAGAATGTACCTTGAGCCGCAAAAGGAAATTGTAATAGTGGATAACCATACAAAAGAGGTTGATAAAGTAGCCTCAACAGATGAAGAAGCTGGAGGACGGAAGCTAACCCATGCTAGGATATCGGTTGCCTATGATGCCGCAAATCAGAACGATAAGACGACGGATGAACAAGAAAAGAGCGAGAGAGACGCAAAGAAAAGTCAATACGAAATCTTGGGGACAGACAATACGACACTTGACCTGTTCAACAATTCTAAGATGGACAAACGATTAGACACCACAGACCATTGAGACCAAGAAGGAGGGTTCAGTGTGGATATTGAAAACGGAAATGGGAAACATGACGCCTCACCAATAAACTCTGATGCGTCTATGAAAAAAGAATTTGAAGCTAGTAGATACAAGCACACAATGAGAGAACAATGGAACAAAGATGACGAAGCATCCATGACGTACCTAGTGGAAAATGCGCCTATAAAGGTGTTAATGTATGCGCCCACAAAATGATGGTTCGGTACCCCTACCCTACATCAAAAATCAGTTGGACGAAAAAGGAAACAAGTTATATTGCGCCAACAACAGCTAGAAATCAGAGGATGTCGATGGTACATCACTTACCACATCAGGCCATATCATCACCACAGATGAAAGCATCGACGACAAGACTGGAAAAGCAACTACATCAGAATAACACGTGCTATTGAGAAAGCCACGCCATGCTGACGCCACATCACGAATCTGAAGACTGCCTGACCAATGATAAATTGGAAGATCAGGTACAAGTGGAAGGAGAAGACGACCGACAACCAACCGATGACCAATGACCCAGCGAATAAATAACCCACTGGCCATCACTAAACAAAACACGACGACAGACACATGCCTAGTGGAAATCTTAATGCGTGGGACGCATAAGATAGGCGTGGGGGAGTTGTGAGAGGGAGAATAAAAACAATAGTAATGCGATTAAGGTCACGTAACCGACGATCGACCTGGGATCGCAAGAAGAAAAGGAAGGTAAAAATAGATCTGAAACCAGTACTTGTAATAAAATAATAATGATGTAATTAGTGTTAGATTAGATAATAGCGCCAGAAAGTAGTAGAAATTCCCTTACCTTTCGTTATGTTTCCAAATTGTTCCTAAACTTTCCTTGTAAAAAAGTATAAAATGTTAGCATTTATTCTTTAAAAAGAAAAGAAGGCAAATAGTGGTGACTAAAGAAAATTAATAAAGAGAAATTACTTACCTTGGTCAAATCAAACACCTCGTCAAGATCATCCACTTCCACAATATCTATAAATCTGTTGAGATATCTATAGATGGTTTGTTTGTGTGGTATAGTAAAAGCATTGATAAAATGAGAATTGAGAGGTTAAGAGTTGAAATCTCTTGCCAGAATAATGTGTTTTTTTTGATGTTCTCTGATAAAATTTTTTAAGGAAGTAACTACATATTTCCTTACTATTATTTTATATAACAAATAGCAGAAAATTATTATGATGTTGACTTTTGGCTTGAATTTGTGATAGATGGCATATCAGTATTCATTTTGAGCAAATGTATTAAAGATATAATTGCTAATAGATTTGTGGTAATAATACAAGTTTCATTGCTTGTACTGATTGATGGTATACTTAAGATGATTATACAATTGTTAAGTTTTTTTGGAAGTAGATTTTCTGAGAATGCTTTTGTTTCAAAGTAGCAAATAATACATCTGTCATTTGTAATTGTTTTTATTAGTTTACTATACTTGCTCCTTTGAGAAAAGTCTTGAACATTGAGAGTGGATATAATAATTAAATTTCTTGTTAAGATTCTTGAGGTAAGTTGTAAGAATAATGATTAGTAAGATATATTTGAGATATTGTTAGGGGCAGCACTTGTTGTTATAAAACTAATTAATAAGGATTGGGAGTTGGACTGGTTTGTGGTTATTATTAAATAAGTTTGGAAAGAAAAGTTATCTCTGGTTCAGGTAACTTGAGTTTGATTAAAAATTCAAATAGAAGTTTGTTGAAATGTAAAATTTTGTTTAGTGTTATAATATTGTTATTTAGATGAAGGTTGTCTATGAGAGGTAAAGAGAGGTCAATATTGTTTCAATAAGATGTTTATTGGTATCTGCAAGGTTTAGTAAGTCTGGAAGTAGTGGGTAATTCATTCTCTCAAGCTTTCTCCTATATACTTATTTTTGATTTTTGTAAAAATTTGTTTGAAATCTAATGCATTTCTGTTCATTTGCTTTTTTGAGATGTTGAGTTCTGCTTCAATAGTATTAAAGTTGTTAAGAAGTTTATATTTGTTTAATTGAACAAGATTATTATTAATTTATTTAGGTCCTAGAGGAAAATTTATAAAGAACTTTTGTTTGAGATCCTTAATCAGTTTGTTAGCTTCTTTTTAAGTAGTAACTAGTAAAGAAATTGAGTTGTTTTTACTATATTAATGAGAAGGAGAAAGTAAATGTTTAACTTTAATATAATCAAGTGAAAGGCGTTTGACTACATAGTTGTTATCTTTAAGAAGTTGTACTTCTCTTTTGAAATCCTTAATGCTGTTGTCCACAAGAAAGTGTTTGATAAGATACATTGATAAATTCTTATAGGTGGGTGGTAGGTGGAGTTTTGATAGGGAAGATTAAAGTAAGAGTCAGAAAGTTTGCTTGGAATATAATAAAATTCTCTTAGTTTGTTAACACAAAATTTGAGGTTTGCCAGTTTTTATCTCTCTATAAGTGGAAATGTTTCATTGTTGAAATCCTATAGGTTAGCTGGAAGATTCAATCTTTTTACAAAATAGAAAGTAAATAAGAGATCAAAGTTGTAGAAGGCTCTGAGATTGCTTGTGACTTCATTGATATTGCTGGCTTTTGTAATTGAAATGGCTTTAGGTAGTCTAATGATTATTTTTATAGAAATATTCTTTGGATTCTCAGGAAGTTTAGGTAGGATTTTTTGAATTATTGTCTCACAGGTTTGATATAGTTTCTGATAGTCCACTTTTTCTAGAAATATTTCACAAAAAAATTTAAGCTATATTTTAGCAATTGAGCTACTTGTCAGTATTTGAGAAGAGTAAGGTCTGTCAATCTGAAGTAAGTAATAAAAAAAGCTTTATTAATTAGTTTTTTGATTTTATTTTTAGTTGATCTTGTGATATATTTTAGGTTGTTAGTTTTGTGATAGTTGGAATGGAATTTTTTCTCAATAGACTTATATTTTCTCTAGTATTGTTCTTTAGTCAACTTGTCCTTGGCAAATGTTCTAAAAAAATTATAATCCCTATACTTGATTTTAGAGAAGATACTTTTTAAAGTTGTTTTGGAAGACCTGGTTAAGTCAGTTTTGATTTTTAAAAAGAAATCAACAATGGCTTTAGAGTCCTGTCACATTTATTATATTCTTCACATAACTCTAGAATTTTTTTCTGTTCATCAGGAGGTGTGCTATTTCTAATGTTGTTCATAACAGATGTGCTGGCTTGTCTGATTCAAGAAACTTGTTGGTTTCATTTGCCCATGAGTTGGGGAGAGATTCCAGGGTTTTAATTGATTGGGTGAAAGAAGAGTGATCATCAATTTCCATACTGAAACTGGTTTGTGCTGGAGTGTTTGTGCTCAAAAGTATATTATATATTGTAATAACATCAATTGATATGTTCAAGAGAGGTTACATGATTTTTGTTGGCTGCATATGGGCTGGGATACTTATTGATATGCTTAAGAATGGTTGCATATGCTGTTTCAGATTTACAATCAAGTTGCATACTATTGTTAAAAATCATTTCCTTAATTAATACAGGTATGTTTGAAGAGGATATAAAGATTTCAGTTTTCCGCTTTAGAGTAAAAATATTTTTCTGTTTGTTGATATTAATATTAATTTTATTTCAGGAAACATGAAATTCATAATTAAGGTTTAGTTTGAGTAGCTCTTTCATAATACTTTTTTTGTCTATGTCTGATAATTTGAAGGAATGTGGATATTCAAAAAAGGAGTTGATAGTTTCCAATGTTATGGAGTTGAGAAGTGAAAACTTTACTTTTGTATAATGGTTACCGATTCTTTTTTTGCAAACTTCAAAAGAGATAACAATAATCTTCAGGCTTTTGTGATCATTTTCTTGAAGGCAGACAGATGTGAGTTAAGTTTTCAAACTTTAGTAGATGATTATAAGTGGTTGGGATAATAGTATATACAATATTAATATTGTTATTTTTGTGGATGATTACAGTGAGATATTTGTCAATGTCAGTGATAAGAATGTTAAGTAGTGTGTGTGTAGGTTCAGTGGATTGGCTCTTGAAAAATATGAATGACCCTTCAGAGTTCTTTGTTGTTTTTTTTGAGGAGAAAATTTTTGTATTTCCTTATTTGGTAATAAATTCTTGTATGCATATTAAGTGGAAAAAAGTTTTTTGGTTTGACAAAATATTCTTTATGCCAGTTTGAAAATTTGTTTAGGTTAAAGTTCTGTTTTGAAAATGTTTTTGAAATACTTATTAATGATATCTTGTATAATATTTAAAACATTTTTATTTAATTTCTGTTATTGTAGATTTTGTAAAGATCTAGTTTGAGCTTAATTGAGTTGAGTGCTTTTTTGATATAGTTTTTGGGTTTGCTATAGAAGTTTTTAATCATGTTTTCAAAGTTTGATTGGTATTTATCTAGTGTTCTTGTTAAGATTGTAAAAAAACTTTTTAATTAAGAGTTTTTTAGTTTCTAAAGACCTTTTACTAACAGATTGATGTGGCCATTGGAGATTTTATATAAGATATATAGTTCTTGAGTAAAAAGTAAAAGTGTTTGACAGTTTTTAAAATATATTATAGTTTTGCTAATTCTTTTAGTTTGTCTTTTAAGATTTTTTTTTGCATTAGTGCTGTGGTCTTTTCAAGTTGACTAGTTTTGTTTTTTTTAATAAATTTGTTTAGAGTGTCTTTGCAAATATTGTTGAAGTCTTTCTAATTAGATAATAAAAGAAGATCAATCCATAAATCTAGTTTTTTTATAAATTCTATTATATTTTCTTTGAAAGTTTTTTCAATGCTATACTTGAAAGTAGGCTTGATTTTTTTAAATTTAAAGTAGTCAAGTTTGATTGCAACAAAATGATAGTTTGTATAAATTAGATTGCAGTTTTCTACTTTGTATTAGATTATTTTAATAGCAAAATTTCTAAAAACCTATGTTTGATTAATACAAGAGGTATTGGTAGTAGTAATATACTGTAAATAAATATATTTTTATCAAATTGTTAGCTAATATCTAAGTATTTGTTAAGATGTTTATAAATAAATTGCTTGAGTATTGAGATTAAAGCATTGATAGATAGGCTATTCTTGAGATATAAGTTGAAATATTATATTATTATATAGTATATTTTGTAGTAAATAGCTAATTTGATTGTTTGGTAAACTTGTTTAATGGCTTGTTTTCTTTTTTTATATTGTAAGAATGATATATGGCTGAAAGAAGATTATTTGTTTTTCCTTTGAA